TTGACAATGAATGTATCACTAGAGAACTTCTAAGTGGACACAGCAGTGTGTAAGGTGTTAATATTGACAATGGATGTATCACTAGAGAAGTTCTAAGTGGACACAGCAGTGTGTAAGGGGTTAATATTGACAATGAATGTATCACTAGAGAACTTCTAAGTGGACACAGCAGTGTGTAAGGTGTTAATATTGACAATGGATGTATCACTAGAGAAGTTCTAAGTGGACACAGCAGTGTGTAAGGGGTTAATATTGACAATGAATGTATCACTAGAGAACTTCTAAGTGGACACAGCAGTATCTAAAGGGTTAATATTGACAATGAATGTATCACTAGGGAACTTCTAAGTGGACACAGCAGTATCCTAAAGGGTTAATATTGACAATGAATGTATCACTAGGGAACTCTCCCTATGTTATGTAATCAAGGTGACCTCGAGGTCGGTAGAGCAGGATGTAAGCAAGCCTAGGCTAGTGGGTCACGGGTCACACAGGGGTCACTCAGGGGTCACTCAGTGGAGAGCTTTGTGTTTGTTTGTCTACTGGGTAGACTTTGCCCCTCCCTCTTCTCCCCTCAAAGTCCCTTTAACCCCACTTTTATTGTTATGCAAATTGTTATTGTGTGTCTCGTCTCTCTCCCCCTCCCTCTCTCCTTCCTCCTCACCCCTCACTTGCTATATCTCCACTCATATTGTTATGCAAATTGTTATTGTGTCTCTCGTCTCCAAATTGTTATTGTGTCTCTCGTCTCTCTCCCACTCCCTCTCTCCTTCCTCCTCACCCCTCCCTTGCTATATCTCCACTCATATTGTTATGCAAATTGTTATTTTGTGTGTCCCCCCCCCTCTCCCCTCCCAAACCTGAACTTACAGTATAATGGTTTGAGAGATAGAGGCAGTTCACTTTGCTGCCAAAGTTTAATAACTTTATTGAGTATGTCTGTGAATGCTGTGTCTCTCTTCCCAAATCTGAACTTGCAGTAATGGTCAATGAGGTGGTTCACATTCCTCATCCTGTCAAACTGTTTAATAACTTTATGGAGTATCTCTGTCTGTCTGAATACAGTTCACTTTGCTGCCAAAGTAAAATGATTTTTATTGAGTATGTCTGTCAGAATCCTGTCTCCCAAATCTGAACTTACAGTAATGGTTGATGGGACGGTTCACATTGCTAGCATGTTGCAAAGCCAAAGTATTAAATAAAGTCTTTATTGAATAGGCCTTTATGTCTGTCTGTCAGAATGCTGTGTCTCACACAGGCCAAATGGTAGCCTGGCTACCCCC